GGAGCATATTCAATTGTGGCACGGAACAGAATATTTTCTGATGTCACTCATAATTAACCTAGACATAATATATATACATTTTGACACTGCCAGTCAGTTAAGATCAGAAGCAATGAAAGCCAAATTTAGCGGAATACCAGGGGAATTATTATTATTATTATTATTATTATTATTATTATTATCATTATCATAATTTGTGTATGTTATGTTTCCTACTTTGTATCCTTTAGGGTCGGGTTCAAACAATGGTTCTTAAGGAGAATTGTCATTTAATAGCACTTTTCTTAGTATATGAGATGTTCCTAGCAGGGCGATCTTCTGGGCAAATTCTCCATTTGTATACATGCTCAAATTGAATGGAGGGGATAAATTCTTGTGTTTGTGTCAACTGTTAAAATAAAAAGTTCGAGAATCAAACTAGCTAAGTGTAGAATAGTTAATGATGACCAGCCTTTTCTCCATCACCTCTCCCCACGACCTTGTGCCACTAACAATGTATTTTGTTTAATAAACAAACAGCGTCTGTTATATCCTTTCCGTCTTTCCTCGTGATCAAAACGGAATCATTATTCACGAGGTATTGGCTCGGCGTAACGTACGTGTTAACAAAGAAACGAAGGAAGAAACAGAATTGTATTCTTCTTCTTCTCATTATTATTTTTATATGTTATGTTTCCTGCTTTGTATCCTGTAGAGCCGGGTTCAAACTATGGACCTTAGGCCCTATAGAAGAATTGTCATTTAATTGATAGCCCTTTTCTAGTATATGAGATGTTCCTAGTTGGGCGATTTTCAGGGCAACTTGTATGTTGATGTTACCTGAGACACTCTTAGTAAAATTGTCCATTCCTTTTCTCATGTAGCCGAGTGCCTCGATTACTATTGGCACAGTCTCGGTTTTCATTCCCCACATCCTGTTAATCTCGATCTCCAGGTCTTTGTATTTGGACAATTTATCGATAATTTTCATGGAGGTCCTTCTCTCAGATGGCACTGTTATGTTAATAAACATACACTTCCTGAATTTCTTGTCTTTTATGATAATATCTGGTCTGTTAGCTTTCCCTGTCAGTTTGAATTATCATGTCCCTGGGGATAGTTACATCGTTATTGTGTGTCTAGTGGGTCCTCATACCATCTCTCAGTGGTTTCGATTTTATGCTTCTTGCATATCTTCCAGTGCACATATGCTATGTTTGCGGGTATATTCATTTTTTGTCAGTTCCAGAGATCCTGAGATAATATGGTCAACAGTTTCATCATATTTTCTGCAGATCCTGGATTTTGGGTTAGTCCCATCCTTGATTATGTGACAGTGATAAGATGTGGTTGCGAAGCTTTTGTCCTGAGCTGCAATAATTAGGCCTTCTGTTTCCGTTTTCAACCCGGTGCTCCTCAGCCACTGATGTCTTTTCTGTTGGTCCACATCTGCTTCTTTCGTTCTTTTTTTGGTATTTGCCATGCAACGCCTTGTTCTCCAAGTTTTTTTTCTGTAATGTCATTAGTTCAAGTTGTTTTGCTTTCTGTTTTACTCGTTTGGCGTAGATGCTATTCGCTTAGTTTTTGTTTGTAGGATTTCAGGTACATTAAGTTGTTTCTTGAAGAGTGCAGCTTCTTGGTTGATGGAGTGGATTTTGGTGGTTTACTATTTGCAGGAGAGGCTCATTGATTTTTGTGAGGTAGGTTTCAATCCGATTGTTGTAGTTTTTAGAGTTAGTTGAATTAGACCTCGACCTCCGAAAGCTCTTGGTACATACAACCTATTAACATCTGATTTCGGGCGGTGCCTCTTCATTTGGGTAAGCATTTTTCTGGTTTTGACGGCCAATCTTTTAATATCATTCAACTTCTATTTAATAATGTTGAAGCTGTATGTTACTACGGATATAGCTAGGGTGCTGACAGCCTTCATTTTATTGGCCCCATTAATTTTGATTTTTAGTATCAAACGCACTCTGCTATAATATTCTTTTCGGATTTTTTTCTTCATAATTGAATGTTGTATTCCATCTCCTTCATTAATTCCTAATTATTTGTATGTATCATCTTGATCTAGTTCCTTAATCTTGTTGTTGATATCAAAGTCTAAATCTATAGTTTACCGCCTTTGAAGATGGCTTTGGTACATTTGTCGATTCTGAACTCCATCCTAATGACTTCGCTGAAGGTTTTGACAATTATGAGTAGGTTTTTCTGCTGGTTGCAATCCTTGGCAAACGTTTTAAGATCATCAATATAAAATAGGTGATTCAGTTTACCATTCTGTGTCTTATATCCGTGGCAACTGTGTGTTCAGTAGGCAGCTGATTGGCGCAACTCCTTGGAAGACCCCGCTTTTGATTTTCATTGGTCACAATGTTAATGACCCGTTTGTATGGTTTAGACTTAGTGTAATCTTTCAGTTTTTCATGCATCCTATTATAAATTTGACCGTTGTGGGGTATACTCTGTATATTTTTAGGCTGGTCTTTAATCATTAGTGTGGAACACTGTCGAACAATTTTCTGTAGTCGATCCATGCTGTTGATAAGTTTCTTTTCTTTGATTTCACTTCTTCCAATATTGTTTTATTGATAATTTCTTGGTCCTTACACCCATAACTTCCTCTTTTACATCCCTTCTGTTCTGCTGGGAGTAAATTGTTTTTGGGGTTTTTTTATCAAGTAAGTTGTATGTCCTCTCGGTTATGATAGAAGTGAGGATCTGGTACATTTTTGGTAGGCAGGTGATGGGCCTATAGTTCTTCTCTTCTGTTTTTAGGAATAGGCATGTTACTCCCCACGTGGGCCATTTGGAGCATTTTTCTGGGTTTATGATTATATCATTATAAACCCGTGCAAAGACTTGGTTGGTGATAGTTTTTTTGTTTTTTTTACCCAAAAATTAACTATTCGGTCAATTCCTGGTTCTTTCCATTTTTTGGTTTTGCAGATGACAGCGGTTCTTTCAGTAATATTGATATCCGTCCGTTTTTGGCACTCTATATGTGTGTATTGTTCATGTTGTTACTTGATCCATGTAGCTCTTTCATTGCGCATTTTGAAGTTTGCCCACATCTTACACCAGAACTCCTAGACTTCCTAGATATTAGGTGGGTCATTTATTTTATTTTTCCCAGTTCTCGATATAGTTTCTTGGCATTTTATTTGAAGATCTTCTTTTGCCAGAAGAATCCGTCAGCTTTTGATTAAACAAAATTATTATTATTATTTTCATTGATCAATAATCTTTTGCAATTAAATCCGTTCGCCAAACACAACTGGAATTATTGATGTCTTCATGTGTTATATTTTTGTAATTTCCACTTCAAGAACCTTCCATATTTATTGTTTTTAAGATTATTATTATTGTTGTTGTTGTTATTTTTGTCGTTGTTGTTGCCTTACCTTTGTTTTAAGTAACGTGAGTTATTCCCACATCTCAATTAAATATTTCAAGAAACTACAAATACATTTGTATCAGAAGATTCAAACGGATGAGATGCCATGCAATCAAGAAGAAAAATACTACTACTACTACTACTACTACTACTACTACTACTAGTGCTATTATTATTAATAATATTTTCTTTGATTTCTTTTGTATAAAAATTTCCTTCCGGGTCCCAACCAGAGACCTAAAGCTTCATTTTTTATTGATCATTTTTTGTGTAAAGAAAATCCCTAAGATCACCCATTTTACATAGATGAAGCTCTTCGTAATGTGTGAGCTGTATTTGTGAGTACACATTTTTGTATTTCTTTAAGGCATAGGCTACCAGGAATCCCTTTAATAAGTCTATCGCAACTTTTCCAATCAAACCGAGGGCTCCAACTACAAATAGAATTATCGATGTTCTCAAGTGCCACATTTTTTCGACTTTAAAATCCTTGTATTTTGATAGTTTTTTTTTATATCTTCAAAGATACATTTTGCAGGAACTGTGATACCAATAAGAAACCATATTCTGTTCTTGTAGGCTTTGATCACGATGTCCAGACGATTGATTGTTCCATTTGTGTGTATTCTAAAGTCCCATAAAATTGTTACAGTTCCTATCTATAGGGAGATGTTCATACCAGTTTCTTGCAGTTTCCTTCCCTTAAAAGTTGCATATTTTCCAGCGCAGATATTGGCCCCTTCTATAATGCCGAGTTTTATATTCAGTTGGTGCTAACACTATGCAACCTGATAAAAGTATTATTATTATTGTTTTTATTTCCTTTGATTTCTGGCGTGTAAACATTTCTTTCCGGGTCCCGCCCAGAGATCTAAGGTTAGAAATTGCATCATGACACTTTCCACTGACAAAAAACAAAAAAAAACCCCAAAAAACTCCCAATAGTTTACATCGATAAAGCCCTTCGTAAAGTGTGGGCTGTAGTTGTGAGAACAATGTTTTGAGGCATGGCTTCCAGGAATCCCTTCAAATAGTCAATCTTTTCCAACCAATCCTAGCGCCCCAAGAACAACAGGGATTGTTAATGTTCCCATGTATCACATATTATTATCATTATTATTATTATTATTATTATTATTATTAAGCTTAGGTTAAAGAATCAAATAAGTAATTGTTAGAAAATCTAGCTTGTTTTCTAAATGAGCTTGAACACTGACATCTACCATCAGTTTCAAATATATAACTATCTCACCCAGGAAGCTGTTAACGATATAAGTAGGGGGACACCCAGTGAAGATCAAATTCAATGCAGAAGTAAATATTCTGCGACAATAACTTACTAATTAACGTTTCATATTGAAATGCCATATCTTTTTGTAAAAAATTATCGATCGTGACTTTAATTTATCGATTTTAATCTATCGATTTCTGTTCAGTAAATGACGTTTTCACAATGTAAAAAGGAAACAAACAGCCCAATAAATAAATAAAGTAAAACATAAACTTGTCTATTATCTTTCGCTTAAATTGAGAATGGAAGGTGACGTTGGATTTTCCCCGCCCCCATTTTCCAAACTTGTGTCTAAATGGAATTTTAATGAAGAGACAGCGTCAAAGGCAAATGGCTGTTTTTCCACCATTTACTTTTGGCTCCGCACCGTCCGTAGCCAACTGTCGTCATCATCGATTCTCCCCACCCCCGACTGCCGCAATTTGGGGGGTCCTATGCTTCTTTCTTACATTGACCTTAGTCAAGTTAAGTGCGCTGAAAGCTTTTCTTTCTTCACAGTTCAGCTTATCGAAGGAAGACTCAACCGACGACCGTACAACCCCATCCCTTCCCTCTGAAGAGTCAACCACGTTTACCCTCTCAGCATTGGCCCGCTCGGAGAGACGAAATCGAGTCAGGATAAGGACGATGAACTTTGTTGCTTCACTTAATCCGGTGGGAGTGGCTGGACGAAATAGTGAAAAAAAAAAAAACCCAAAAGTCAACATCATATATATATGTGTGTGTGTGTATGTATGTGTGTGTACAATTGACTGTAAAGATAATCAGGACGAGAATTAATTAAGGATCACGCACACACGCACACATGAACTCACGCACACACTGAAACATTCACAAAAGCGCAGGTACACACTTCCACACACTTCCACACACTCAAACACCTGTGTGTACTCACGCTGACGTATACACATGCACAAGAATACACGGACATTAAACATGAATTCAGTGTAATAGAAAAATGGAAACTGCTTCGTAATGATAAGGTAAAAAAAAGGGGAGAAGGAGGAGGAGAGAGCAAGAAAATGGAAGGGAAAGAGAAGAAGAGAAAAAAGAGCAGGGGAGGGGAGAGAGAGAGTTCTGGGGTATGATGTACAAGAAAGGGGCAGAATGGAAATAGTAATTCTCAACATAAACTTTGGAGTTTCATTCACATTTTAATAAAAATCCTTATCGTCATGATCATCATCATCATCTACATGATTATATTAATTATTTTGGAGGAGAAGTAAGAGGGAGAAAGAAGTAAAAAAAAACAGTAAAGAAAAGGAAAAAAAACGAAGAGAAAAAAGAGGAGGCGGCGGTGGTGGCGGAAGAAGAAAAGAAAAAAGAAATGAAAAGTGAAGAATAAATAAGAAGAGGAGGAGGAGGAGGCGGTGAAGGCTGAAGTGAAGAAGAAGAAGAAGAGGAGTAGAAAAGAAAAATGAAAATGAAGGTAAGAATGATGGATACTTTACCAATTTTCTAATTTCATTCAAGCGAATCCAATAAAACCCAAGGTGAAAGGAAATGAACTCCCACCTCACCAAACTTCATTTCACCACACTACATATTCGTATATACATATATATCCAGACATTTTAAATATCTAATAAACTGGTTGCGCAGCCTTGATTAACTTGGCTATCGATCATGCACTTTGCCGTGGAATCAGCAGTGAGACACCATTTAGTAGACTTATGTGTATTGTGAGGCGGCCATATTCATTATTAACGATTATTCACGATTTTTCATTCACTGCAGATTTATTTCCCAGCAATTTCTGACTTTTCCCAAAACTAAAACCGCCATTGAAACACCTTCAACGAGATTAAAGAGAACGTAACGCGTACAAATGATGGCGAGAGGGATTTGCAGTTTGTTTTTAAAAGTGGAGGGGGGACGCCGAGAGAAGTGCGTGAGATCTCAACAGGCAGTACTTTTAAATGGATGGAGACACCATTGTCCTAGGTTGGCTATTTTTTTTTTTTTGTTTATATGAAATGGCAGGATAGTTTTGGGACATCTATACACCTATCGAATATAAAAAAAAGAAAAAAGGAATAAATCGTAGAAGAAAAATAAATATAAGCGAAGACATTCTTAGAATAGAACTTGTCAAAGTATGTGACATTATCTTGTTTTTTTTCTGCTTGTTCATTTACAATCATTTATTTGGTCAGTGTGGGATACTGTACGTGCAAAACCAAACTATAACACCAGTCGTCACCGGAGGAGGAGGAGGAGGAGCCTCTATGAACGTAACTTATCTGTTAAAAGGTCTTATCACGTTGAAACATCGGTTCCCGTACGATCATCGAAGTTAAACAATATCGAGCCTGGTCAGTATCTAGATGGGTGACCACTTGGGGCTTCCAGGTGTTGTAAACTTGAATGTTGGATTCGTTATATTCACTTACGCGCAAATGTCCTTAGGAAAGGTATGAATCCACCTATTATCCCCCCAGCTATGGGTTAATTAATAAGACTTGTATCACTAAAATCCTTATTATCTAAAAAAAAAATCTTACCATCTAAAAAATATTTTCTGTCTTTATATAACCTGCAAAGGGTTGATAAACCGTCAATAAATTATCTGTTAAGAAAATTCGATTGGGAAGCAACTGAAGGAGGACAAATCGGAATGACAGTGGATATAATAAGAAACGAAACACAGTGGGTATTTGTGTAATTCTCGTTGGATGTAATGGTCAGTGACGAAATCCTGCTAAAAAGGCCAGCAATTCGAATTTCAAAACTCTTTCAGGTTGGCATATTATATCACAATCTTCCAAAGTTTATGTTTTTTCTTCATTTGCTCTTGAAACCAGATTTGATAAATGGACATCCCCACACACTCCTAAAAATCACACAAAAACATACAGTATATATCCATATGTAAACAAGTAATTTTAAATAGTTTCTGAACATATGCATAAAATCAACTTGACTCTCACACACCCACAGACAACACATAAGCACAATATAAGAGTCGTTGAAAAAGTTCTAAGGCTTAGCCAGAAAGAAAAGCTATAGCTGAACATTTTTTGATGTGGCTACACATTAACACTTCTTATGAAATTAGAAAAGAATTAATTCAGATTTGTCTTAATTTCTGTGCAGATGAGGCTCATAAAAAGGTGAGAGGTGCACAACAAATCTAAAAATGGACAAAACAGAGGCCAGAGCAGTCATAAAGCATCTGCAAAAGATATGTATGACACCCAAGAAAATCCATGAGGACTTGGTACGAACACTTGCTGAGGAATACCCTTTCCTATGCAAGTGGACTGCAAAATTCAAGCGAGGACAGGGCCAGCACGGAACATCGGTCAGGTTGTTCAAAAGCCTCAACCACTGATGAACAATTTGATGTCATTCACAATACTTACTTCATCCACAGGCATTAGTTCTGGTTCGGTCCATACTGTTTTAACTGATATCTTAGGGATGAGTAAGCTGTCTGCAAGATGGGTACCAAGCATGCTGACACCAGAACAGAAGCTGAAAAGGGTTGATATTTCCAGGAGACTTCTGACTCACTTCCAGGCAGACTCTGAGAAGTTCCACCGCAGATTAGTAAGTCAAGATGAAATTTGGGTTCATTACTTTAAGATTCAAAGCAAACAGTGTAATCAAGCAATCAAGTCGAAACGCGGGGTGGATGGAAGCTGACGACAGGTGGGATCTTGGTCCAGGATAACGCGCCCGTTCACACTGCTCAGGTTGCTGAAAAAGAAAGTTATGACACTCAAGGAAATCCATGAGGACATGGTACAGACAGTTGCTTCCTATGCAATTGTGAAGACGTGGGCTTCGGGATTCCAGCGGGACAGGAACAGCACTGAAGATGAGCCTCGGTCAGGTCGTCCAAAAAACTCAACCAGTGATGAACAGGTTGATGACATTCATTGTATGGTTTTGGGATGGTTCTGTCCAGCATTTATTACTTCTGTTCGGTTCATACTGTTTTAACTGATATCTTAGGGATGAGTAAGCTGTCTGCAAGATGGGTACCAAGAATGCTGACACCAGAACAGAAGCTGAAAAGGGGTTGATATTTCCAGGAGACTTCTGACTCACTTCCAGGCAGACTCTGAGAAGTTCCACCGCAGATGAAACCTAGGTTCAGCACTTCGAACCTGAATCAAAGATCCAAAGCTAACACTGGAAACACTTTTCGTTCTCCACTCCGAAGAAGTTCAAGCAAGGCGCGTATGTTGGCAAGGTGATAGCTTCTGTTTTGGAGGGATTTTGAAGGAGTAATTATGATACATGGAAAAGGGAAAGGGTTATGACTGGAAAGTACTATGAATCAGAATTGAGGTAACTGAAGGAAGTAATCAAGTCGAAATGCAGAGGGAAGCTGACGACAGGTGGGATCTTGATCCAGGATGACACGCTCGTTGACACTGGTCAGGTTGCAGTAGCGTGCAGTGAATCAGCCGACTGTGGCTTTCAATCGCTACCCCGCTTCACTTAATCCTCATACTTAGCTCCATCTGATTTCTTCCCGTTTCCTAAACTCTAATCCCATCTGTGTGATTACCATTTTGGAAGCAATGATGAGATCATATGTACTGTAGAGGTTTTTTTTTTAAGGAAAAGATCGCCACCTTCTTCTAGGATCAGATTCTAATCTTTTAGCATCGTTGGACCAAATACATTGATGTCAAGGTGTACTATACTGAAAAATAGTGAAAAGCTGTCTTGTTTCTCCAAATCCTGGATGGGGCTTCGAACTTTCTGAACAACTCTTGTATATACAAAGATCTATCTATATACCTCATCTATCTATCTATCTATCTATCTATATATATATTATGAAATGGACGAAGTCCGACAGTTATTTTAAGACATTTTTATGTTTATACATTCTTTTCATAGATACAAATATTTAAGTAAATGCTCTGATACATAATAAACAGTATTAATATCATTTGCCGGCCTGAATGTCCAAGAAATTTTCATAGAAAATATTCGTCCTCCGACAGGAATCGAACCTGTATCATATACGGAACTGTCATTTAACCTGACGTGCCTTAACCGGTCGAGCCATGGAGGATCGTTCGATTAGCAAAGTCGATTTTACTGCTTTTAAACTTCAATCTTC